TCAGTTACTGTTTTAGTTTCAGTTGCTGGTTTAGGTTCAGTTGCTGTAGGTTTAGTTTCAGCTGGTTTAGGCTCTGGTGTGCGTTTAGGTTCAGTTGCTGTTGTAATTTGTGTTGCAGGTTTAGTTTCTGTTTTAGTTTCAGTTACTGTTTTAGTTTCAATTGCTGGTTTAGGTTCAGTTGCTGTAGGTTTAGTTTCAGCTGGTTTAGGCTCTGGTGTGGGTTTAGGTTCAGTTGCTGTTGTAATTTGTGTTGCAGGTTTAGTTTCTGTTTTAGTTTCAGTTACTGTTTTAGTTTCAATTGCTGGTTTAGGTTCAGTTGCTGTAGGTTTAGTTTCAGCTGGTTTAGGCTCTGGTGTGCGTTTAGGTTCAGTTGCTGTTGTAATTTGTGTTGCAGGTTTAGTTTCTGTTTTAGTTTCAGTTACTGTTTTAGTTTCAATTGCTGGTTTAGGTTCAGTTGCTGTAGGTTTAGTTTCAGCCGGGTTAAGCTCTGATGTGGGTTTAGAATCAGTTGCTGTTATAGTCTGTGTTGTAGATTTAGTTTCTGTTTTAGTTTCAATTGCTGGTTTAGGTTCAGTTTTTGTTGTAGGTTTAGTTTCAGCCGCTTTAGGTTCTGATGTGGGTTTAGGATCAGTTGCTGTTGTAGTTTGTGTTGTAGGTTTAGGTTCAGTTACTGTTTTAGTCTGTGCTGTAGGCTTGGTTTCAGCCACTGTTGTAGTTTCAGTTGCTGGTTTAGGCTCAGATGCTGTTTTAGGCTGTGTTGTATTTTCTAGCGCTGTTTTAGATTCTGATGTGGCGATAGCTTCAGTTGTTATTTGAGTTTGTGTTGTAGGTTTAGTTTCCGTCACTGGCTTAGGTTCAGATTTAATTTCAGGTGCTGCTGGCTTGACCTCCTTCACCACTGGCTCAGTGTTTGATTTTACACTGTAAATAAAATACAATTACAAATGAGATGGTGTTAAACAAGAAATAGGAGCTTGAAGTTGTATAACTGAGAGATGTTGTGAAGTTTACCTTTGCACAGGCACAGACTTAACAGACGCTGTAGTGTCATCATCATCACTGATATCTACCCTACAAACCACATACACATGCAAAAGTAAGAGGATGAGGATAATGGTGATAACATATAGGGTTTACACAGGTAAAGTGGGGCACTTTAACTTATTGCTGATGCACATAATGATAGATGAGTAAGTTTAATCGGTGCCATATCATCAACTGTGCCACTTTACCAGTTTTCACCCTATTTACTTTTGTCAGTGTGGGCTAGTACCTTTTTGCAACAAAGCAAATGCCCATCTCAGCAGAGCTGTCAGGCTTCTCTGAAGATCTGGAGATATTAGATGTGAACATTGTGCAGTGAGGAATAGGATATGCATTCATCTTAATATTTTAACCAAATAGTGGTACAGAGGAAAAGTAATTAAGAGTCAATGGGGAAAAGTCACGTGGATGCACTGCCTTAAATTAACTATTAAAGTTGACTATTAAAAAGAAGCTGAACATAAGTTAACAAATAAAATACACATGAAATATGAAATGTGTTACTGTGTTCTTATAGTTAGTATTTTGGAATAAATGTAAAAATTCTTAAAAAGACATTTTGATTCTCTTTTTTAAAGCAAGGACCACAATGGAAATTATCCTTGACAAGAAAGTTATAACAGTGAATTGCTACTTTTTGTGTCAAATAAACTCAACTCAACTCAAATATAGTTTGTTTTAATAAATAGAACATTAATTACACTGTTAATGTAAAAATACAAATTCGAATAATATTGGGAGTTGTTTTGTTGATGGTGTAAGTAATGTTTATATATTTAACATGAAACAAAAAAAAAGGGGAGGCCTTCTTATAAAAATATACAGTGGTGATACACTTAGAAAAACGTGAAAAAGCTGTCACTTGATACACCTTTTTACCATATTTAGGCCTAAAACGTGTATATTAGCACCTTAAAGGTACATATTATTAACTATTGTGCATGGTATTACCATGGTACACTTCCAAAGTATGTTAGATTTCCAGAAATCATATTTTCAACAAGACACTTACTCATATTTCTTTGCAGCTGACATTACGTATGAACGGCGATATGCTGCCGATCCCTTCAGCACACTGCTGGCTGCCTCTGTCCTGTACACACACACACACATACAAAGGAAATGTTATTTTATGAAGAGGAAAATGAAGTCACCTTGGATAAATCAGTCTGGGGAGTGTGGTCTCTCACCTCTTTTCCATTTCCTCTGGACTCAGAGTTGGTTCAGACTGCACTGTCTTTTCATTGCTGGACCGAATTGTGTGGGGGGCTCTGGGGGAAAAAAATGAATGGAAATAAGCATAATTAAGATGTGCTAAAATGAGCTCAAAGGCTTCATGTGCGTGACCCACATGCTTGAGTGTTTTCGGGCTAACTTACATTTTCTTGTAACTCTCAGATGGCTTTTTGTGTATTACCATGGTACACTTCCAAAGTATGTTAGATTTCCAGAAATCATATTTTCAACAAGACACTTACTCATATTTCTTTGCAGCTGACATTACGTATGAACGGCGATATGCTGCCGATCCCTTCAGCACACTGCTGGCTGCCTCTGTCCTGTACACACACACACACATACAAAGGAAATGTTATTTTATGAAGAGGAAAATGAAGTCACCTTGGATAAATCAGTCTGGGGAGTGTGGTCTCTCACCTCTTTTCCATTTCCTCTGGACTCAGAGTTGGTTCAGACTGCACTGTCTTTTCATTGCTGGACCGAATTGTGTGGGGGGCTCTGGGGAAAAAAAATGTATGGAAATAAGCATAATTAAGATGTGCTAAAATGAGCTCAAAGGCTTCATGTGCGTGACCCACATGCTTGAGTGTTTTCGGGCTAACTTACATTTTCTTGTAACTCTCAGATGGCTTTTTGGTGAAGCTATTTATTCCACTAATGGAGGAGAGACAAATAGCATTCTATTAAAACTGGTTTATCTTTTATTAGCAATTACAAATCATATATTAGAAATGTAGTTTAAGCGTAAAAATACATCCATATTAATTTAATGGAATTTATTTCATGATGAACTAGTGTGGTTTCTGATCCTTCATAATGTTCTTACGCATATCCATTGGTGGATGAATTTGATGTTGGCTTGGAATCGGTTCTCTTGAATACCCCTCTGCAAAAGTAAATGGTCACATATGAAGGAAAGTAATACAAAGGCAGGGCTGATAAAGATAACTTTTGATTGACCGAGCGTTCTCATTACCTGATTAAGTATCCAGATTCAGATGTTTTTGGTCTGTGAATTTGAAAATAAAATATGGTCATTTTTAACATGTAAAAACGTGGTTCTTTTAACTTAAAGGTTCTTTGGGGAACCAAAATAATTCTTCTATGGCATCACTGTGAAAACCCCCTTTAGGAACCTTCATTTTTAGGAGTGTATATATTACATATTTATTGACCCTATTCCCTCCTATTTTCTACAAGCCACATCTCCTACGCTTCTTCTGTCACTCCTACAGTATCAGGTATCTCCACTGCTTAAAAAGTACATAATCTTATAATAACAGAACATTTCAGATCAGTTTCTTTCCTTGTGTCCATTGCAAAAGCACTTTTTTTACTTCTCATAGAACAACCAGCTAGACAACAATCAGTTAAGCTTCAAAAGCAGACATTCAATAGAAACCTTGCTATGAGTCAACAAAGCCCTGCGGTTTGCGAAAGCATCCGCTCAATCATTCATCCTCATTCTGCTGTACAACTCTGTAGCCATCAACACAGTAATTCACCAGATCCTCATGTCCACCTTATTGTTCACAGAACTGCACTTCACTAGTTTGAGTATTACTTTACAGACAGATTATTCATGGTGTGTTGGTGTCAAATAACTGCTGGTGTGCCTCAGGGTTCGGTTATTGGTCCCTTCCACTTTCTGAAATACACAACATTGATGTGACCGATCATCTAGAAACATTGATTTTCCTGCTAGTGCTAACCTGACAATCTTACAGTGGCTGCACAGACCTTCGTTTGTCTGATAAGGACGGGACACACAAAGCCAACTTCAAAGAACTAGCGGCGACAAAAGCCGACGGTGTTGTCAGCTCTGTCTGCACCAAAAATCTGTGCTTGAACACACCGCACAGACTACAGCTGACTACAAACTAGCATGTGTGTCCTGCTCCTGCATATATCAGCAGCTATCAATAGTCTGTATTCGTCATTCAACAGGAGAAACCGAAACAAGGATATATGCAGATATACGAAACGTAAAGAAATCAATGCTTGCGGTCTGGGTGAAAAAAACACCACCTCCAGCTCAACCTACTGGGAAGCTTCTTTTCTTCCAAGCCAATCCAATTTAAGACAACACCATTCAGTAAGGTTCACAAATGAACCATTCAGGTTGCCAATAAGTTGGGGATAGTGTTTGACCACCATCTAAATCTAAGCAGACCAGTCATGCAGTTTTTTTAATGCTGCACAACACTGGAGTACCGCATTGCTTCTCTACACTCTTAAAAATAACGGTGCTTCAAAAGGTTCTTCACAGCGATGCCATAGAAGAACCAGTTTCGGTTCCACAAAGAACCATTCAGTCAAAGGTTCTTTAAAGAACCATCTCTTTCTTACCTTTTTATAATCTAAAGAACCTTCTTTCGCCACAAAGAAGCTTTTGTGAAACAGAAAGGTTCTTCAGATGTTGAAGGTTCTTTATGGAACCATTTAGACAAAAAGGTTCTTCTATAGCATCGTGAAGCACCTTTATTTTGAAGAGTGTAGCTCAAATCTCTGAACATGATTCAAAATGCAGTGGTGTGTTAGGTCTTCAGTAAACCCAAAAGAACACTGAACAATACACAAATGACTCTTTACTGTGCTCTACTGACATTTTCTACATCTGTAGGTTACGTTGGCCTGCTAAATGAGTAAATGTAGATGTAGACCATGGAGAGTAATAATGCATACTTCTCTGTGTCGGATCTAGGCTGAGGCACATCGGGTGTGGGTGAGGAAACAGGACTTGTTTCTTCAAACACACCATTTGAACGGTTTGCTCGCACTTCGGCGACCCTACAAGAGAGATCGTGTTAGATAAATTGTACTGTGAACTTTAAGATTTGTTATAATATTTATTTCTCACCATGGTTTCTCCTCCTCATCTTTCTCAAGATTCTCTTGCTGTTGTCTCTGTATCCAGCTGCTGTCTCCTTTTAGAGCGGTGCGAACCTTTGTGGTCCGCAAAACTGATTGTCTGTCCCCCTCTGAAATCAAGACAGTCCAGAGCTTATCATACACAAACATATAAAGATATATTTTAATATCACTACATTGAGCCAAAAGTTGATAAGTTGATAGCATCAGTGCTAACAGACAATAAAAAAAAGTTGAATGTGTTAAGCAATGTGTGACATGTGGCACGACAGGATTTGATGCTGTGACGCAGGACATCATTGTTTTGGTTGTAAGAATGGAATGCCATAAATTAATAGCTCTGACTTATGCATAAACACTGACAGTTTGACTCATGTGAGATTCAATAAGATAAGATACATTGAAACATTGGTTATTGGATCTTACCTTTGGACATTGTTAGTGGCCCTCTAGTCAAAAAGGTCTAAAAAACTGCCTCGAAAGACACCTGGATTAAAAAAGAAAAAGGTCAGTCATTAAAAACCCCACAAAAGCAAATATTTGTATTCATTTCATTTATTGGCCTTTCATTTTTCATTTACATGATCAATATTTTTTAAAATAGAAAGTACTGACAATGCAACAAAGGTGCACTAAAATAGAAAGATAGAACAAGTGTTCCTTGAGCATTAAATCAGCATTTCAATCAATCAGCATTGATTGAATTTTCCATTTTTCACAAGTGTTTTACCCATATTTTGAATCGCTGTGTTGTGTTTTAGGGTTAAAGAAAACGCCCATAAACTTATTAAAAAAAGTACTGTGTATACATAAAAAAAAAACGTTTAAATTGTAATAATATTTCACAGTATTACTATTTTTACTGTATATTTGATTACAAAAATGCAGCCTTGGTGATCATAAATCGATCAATCAATCAATCCTACCAACCCCGGACTTTTGAATGGAAGTGTACATTAATGAAATAGTTGATTACATTAATTTAATTAAAAAAAATAATTCTGGACGCACTGCATTTTTTTTTTAATAATAATCACACCAAGTAAACAGTGAATTACATGCCTCAAGTATAAATTGTAGGTATACAAAGGTGATGAATTGTTGGCAGGCTAAACTAACACAATATATATTTCTCATCATGAGACTGCCAAACTAAAAAAATGTTACACAACTTTCAAACAAAAAAAAAAATCATTCAGGAAATTCTCCAAGTAACTGACAGATTCGTTCCATCCAACAGAGAACAGGGAAGTTGGAGAGTCATGCTTAAATGGTTTCAGTTACAGAAGTCAAATTACTCGTGCATTTCTTTATGACACAAATCATGAATATATGTTTATTTAATCAGGTTGTTTTGAACCTGAGATACAGATCACAAGATGTACATCTGCAGCAAGATTCATAGCTTTCTTTTCTAAACCATGTTGATCCAGGCACAACACACACACACACACTGACAATGAAAGAGTCTGAACACCTGATCATATGCAACAGATTTCATTATGTCCCTTACGTTATGTCCAGAATTTGAATTTTTTTAACTACTTTAATTCCATAAGCTCTTGAGTTCAAAATCAACCACCCTTAGTTTCCATAATTGTTCGGTGGATGTCCAAATCAACATCCCGGTGTGTATTTGTTTTGTCATATGTAACTATTCTGAATAATTTGAGTAAGCCTGAAAAATATGCTTTCTAATGATCAACATAACCATGACATATAATGTCCAAATTACAGCCTCACAACTGCAAGTGACATAAAGCTTATTGGCAGTAAATACATTTTCTTAAGTCCATAGCTTTCTTTTCTAAACCATGTTGATCCAGGCACAACACACACACACACACTGACAATGAAAGAGTCTGAACACCTGATCATATGCAACAGATTTCATTATGTCCCTTACGTTATGTCCAGAATTTGAATTTTTTAACTACTTTAATTCCATAAGCTCTTGAGTTCAAAATCAACCACCCTTAGTTTCCATAATTGTTCGGTGGATGTCCAAATCAACATCCCGGTAAGTATTTGTTTTGTCATATGTAACTATTCTGAATAATTTGAGTAAGCCTGAAAAATATGCTTTCTAATGATCAACATAACCATGACATATAATGTCCAAATTACAGCCTCACAACTGCAAGTGACATAAAGCTTATTGGCAGTAAATACATTTTCTTAAGTCCATTAGGCCAAAGTTGCTCATTGCACCATAGTGACACAAAATGACCGTCAAGCGTCAACACAGCTTGTGCAAGACGAAACATGTTTGAACAGCGATTGTGACAGTGACAGAGTGAAAGCCAAATCAACGACACGAAGGCAAAAACACTTTCACTGTGTCATATATCAGCCAGTAGAGGTGAAAGAAGCAGTCGCCAACCCCATATAGTCCCAGAACATGTTAGAAACGAGTGGAAGAGATGACCTACCTTATTAATGTCAGTTTAGCTGCAGTATGGTGGCAGGTGCACTGAGCAGTGCTGGGGATATTGGCTGACTGATTGTGAGCTCTGTAAACACACACACACACACACACACGTTCAGGGGAGGTGTTCACTGACAGCTCTCTCCTCTAGCGAGCAGGTTCGGGTGTGGGCACAGACCTGCCCAGCCAGTCGGGTAGGCCAGGCCAACCAAACCTATAGGTGTGTACCTCTGTGTGTGTGTGTGTGTGTGTGTGTACTTCATGTTTTGGCAACAATGGCAGCACATTTATTCATTGAATTCTGTTGCATTTACAGCCCAAATTCAGACAAATCTGCACCAAACAATTACTGGAAGTGATGTCCTCTGAACCGGTTGAATTGAGATGGGGTTAAGCTGCCTTCTGCATGACTGAAAGACCAGAGGGACGGTGTCCAGAGGGACGGTGCGAGCTCATAAGGTGTTCCTGTGGGACTATTCTAGAAAAGCTTCCAAAAATAACAGCTTGTGCCACTTACTGAAGACAGGCTCGACGTTCATGATGAATAAGGATATCTGAAATGATACAAATTTAAATAATTGAAAAATCTGCTTTAAAACACATGCCAAAATTTGAAATTTGATTTAGAACCTGAAAATTAGTCTGATGGGCCTTGACATAGTCATGAGACTCTACAGGTCCTGTCACATGACCACAAAATAGCTTGATTGCACCACCCAGACTTGTGGACAAAACGTTTTTTTAAAATATGAATATTTTAAAACAAAACTCCTTTGCAATATGTTTAAAAACAATGATAATGCTATAATAAATATTATAATTTTTTTTTAAAGAGACCAATTTTTTTACCAGCTTGACATTTTTAAAGCAAATTTCAAATTTATTAAAAATTCACATTTTAAATCAGAAATTTGTCACAAAATGTGTATTCATGTCACTGTATTTATGAACATGCAAAAAGAGAGCACATTTTATTTTCGCTAAAGCTGTGAATTCTGATAGAACTGATAGATATGCCAGATTTACACCGAATCAAAAACTCACACGCTGTAGACTTTCAAAAACAACGCCTGCCTACTAACTGCTTACATAAACTTGTCAGTGATAACTCAGTGTTCATTGGAGGTGAACGGCTGAGTCAGGGTTTTTTAAATGGAGACTGTGGGACTCATCCAAACCACGCTGTCTAAAGTGTGTACGTACAGGGTGTGTACAGTCTCTAGGATACTCACTAACCCATCAGACGCACTCACACCCCTGTGAACATGCGAGAAAGCTAACAGGCCTGATGTGGTTTCACCAGGGGTCACACCTACTGCTACGGGACAGGAACAGGTTTGACGACTGTGAGTCATAGCGATAGCGATTCATATCTGTGAGAGGAGAATCTCAGCTATCTGAACAACACCCCCACCTCCCATCCAACGCCTGCTGGAGGAATTGCAAAAATGCAACATTAGTGAAACATTGTTGTCATCTGTCTTTTGTGCAAGATAAAATGCATCACTAATGGACGGCTAGCTTGAAATAACAATAGTTATATTCATGTGCGATTGAAGTTGTTAGATATTGTAGAGGAGGTGGAAGTGGGCAGAGAAAAATTAGTTGGTAGGAGATTGCATAGCCATCCAATAATTACTGTAACGATACAAGAGGGATCATACGTCATTATGATTACATTCTTTATAATTACATTATTTGTAAATAGAGCAATAAGCCCCAAGAAGCCGTGGTTTACAGTGAATTTAACCACAGGTAAGGGGTGTTGTTAGATACGTTGCGAAGCGGAGTGCCTAAAACATCTTAGCTGTTATAAATTCACAGTAAACCACGGCTTCATGGGGATTATTGCTTTTATTAAACGGTTATTCCATATACGTAGTAAGGTTTCACAGAATAAAACAGAGCATATAAAGTGTAATGGTATTAATAAACACAGTATTCTTCCACCAAACAATGTAGTTCCTCAGAAACGGTTGTGGTTCCAACAAAGTGGTTGCAGAGCAACACACAGAAGTAAACAAAGGTGTGTGTTTGTAGAGTAATTTACAACAGCTTCGAACGCGGCTCAACCAATCAGAATCAAGGACAGGAACTCGCCGTTTTATAAATAGAATTGTGTTAAGTCTTACAAATGCTTAACGCAGTAACTGATAGCAAGGTAACATTAATTGTGCTGCAAAAAATTATTATTTTCCCTTATAGAATATCCTGTGAAAATTATGCCATCATTTACTCACACTCATGTTATTCCAAACCCATAAAGCGTTTTTCTCTCTTATTCTCTCTTCACTTTTGTTCATCCATTGAAAATCTGCACATCTACAATTCCAACACATCACCATGTTAAAGTATAAAAGGCATGGTCAATGTAATACATATGAATCCATATTCATAATCCATATGGATTATGTTTACACTGTCTTTTTATGGCATTAATGCTTTGGTGGAATGGAATGTTTCTTATGGTTTTTGATGAAAACATGAGTGCCGAGAGTAAATGAAGACAGAATTTTTATATTTGGGTAAATGATCCCTTAAATGACACAAATATAGTTGAAGTCAAAAGTTTACATACACCTTGAAAAATCTGCAAAATGGTAATTATTTTACCAAATTAAGAGGGATCACACAAAATGCATGTTATTGTTTATTTAGTACTAACCTGAATAAGATATTTCACATAAAAGTTGTTTACATATAATCCACAAGAGAAAACAATAGTTGAATTTATAAAAATGACCCAGTTCAAAATGATTCTGAACACTGTGCTGTTACCTGAATGACCCACAGCTGTGTTTTTGTTTAGTGATGGTTGTTCATGAGTCCCTTGTTTGTCCTGAACAGTTAAACTGCCTGCTGTTCTTCAGAAAAATTCTTCAGGTCCCACATATTCTTTGGTTTTCCAGCATTTTTGTGTATTTGAACCCTTTCCAACAATGACTGTATGATTTTGAGATCCATCTTTTCACACTGAGGACAACCGAGGGACTCGTATGCATCTATTACAGAAGGTTCAAACGCTCACCGATGCTCCAGAAGCAAAATCCATGAATTAAGAGCTGGAGGGGGGTGAAAACTTTTGAACAGAATGAAGATGAGCATTTTTTTTTTTACGTTTTGCCTAAATATCGTATTTTTTCATTTAGTACTGCCCTTCAGAAGCTACAGATGATACTTACATGTTTCCCAGAAGACAAAATAAGTTACATTTACCCTGGTCTTCAAATTCAAAAGGTTTGTATGATCCCCCTTAGGCTATTTTGGTAAAATAATCACCATTTTGCAGATTCGGCAAGGTGTATGTAAACTTTTGACTTCAACTGTATGTGCAAAACGTCACATTACATAATTAAAACGGGAAGCGAATTCCATTTCATTTCAAGTATCCAAAAAAAAGGAACATGACACAATTAGAAACTTGATTTGAAATGTATACTGCAGTTTCGAAAAACTAAACAGCTGCTGTTACATAAACTCTGAATTCTTTTGGACCAAAACAGAAAGCTGCAAATGTCCATATTTGCCATCTGAATTCAACAACACTGTTGAACTACATGATGCTACATCCTGGTAAAAAGGTGCATTCAGAATCGGAATGATTAAGTGCATTGTTAATACTGCCTAGTAAACACTGGTAATCCAACGGACACATGCAAGGCTCATATTGCAGTTCAGCAAACAGTAAAATATATGTCAATCACTCTCCAGCTTCACTTTGGCGTTACGCTCCCTTCCGCAGATGTGGGTAGCTCTCCACAGTGCGCACTATTGCCTCTCGTAAAGGCACCCATGTCCTTTTTGGCCCGAGCTGCTGTAGTAGTGGTGGCTGCCAGCCAGAGCTACTCTCATAGGATTGAAGGTGGGTTTGATCCGGATCAGCGGCCGCAGCAGCAGGGCTATCCCATACACCAGTGTGTAGGGCAGGTGGTATCGCAGAGCACTGTAGCCCAGACCCACCAGAATCTGTGACATGAAGTCCCAGAAACGCTCATCGTTGGTTATGTGGTAAGCCTGTTAATGTGAGACTCAATTCCTGGAGGGCCACAGCTTTGCACAGTTTTACTCCAACCCTAATCAAACACACCTGATCCAGCTAATCTTGAGGTCTTGAGGATTACTAGAAACTTCCAAGCAGCAGGTGTGATTTAGAGCTAAAGTCTCAGGGGTACTTCAAGTTAATATATTATGTGAAAGAGGATCAGATGACAAAAAAAGTTTGTGAATTTGTGCATTTTAATGTGTCTGAGAGACAAAAGCCTTCCAAAGACTAGAGTGATAATTCAAATAAAATTAACATGTTCATCAATAGTTGATGCAATGTTGAAACACTTCTTAAACCTGACATGATTTTTGCAAATCCTGCAGACTTTCTGAGTGTATAGAAACAGTAGGCTGTTTTAGAAATGAACATTTAAAAGATGAATTAGGGAGAATCAATAATAATGTATTGCTATTGTGTAAAAAATATGTAATCCATAATAAAGTAACTGTAGTCTGATTATGAGTATTATTCAAATGTAATTCAATCTAATTACAAGTACTTCATTTCTGGAATCTGATTAGTATCCAGATGACATGTAATCAGTTACTACCCAGCTCTGCTTATTGGTAGTGGCAAAAGGTTCAATAAAAGTTCAACAGTACCAACAGAAATAAATGTGCCACAAATAAATAGCTTACGTGAGGGTTTTGGAGACCAATGTCTGTGACGTTTAAACATTTTCAAACAGAGAAAGTGTTGCTATGTCATGGTTGCTGGCAAGGCTTGCGGCAGCATTTTTTTCAGTAATGTTCAATTAACCATTATTAATGGGTTTAGCTACTGAGGTTTGTGGATACTGGCACAGTTTTGGCTGGCTTACATGAAAAAACACTGAGCCAATGTGCCAAGCTTGGCCATATGACTTCTTACAAACACTAACAGTGTCAACCAGCTCTAGAATTTTTAACATCACACTAAAACAGTTTTTTATTATTAGAATTATGTTCTAGAGCAGGTTTCAATTTTCTAATTATCCAAGACTGAATAATTACATGACAAAACTCAAGGTCTCAAAACTAAGGATGTGCTGAAAATCTGTATAAAAACTGCATAGAAAAAGCTTTTTGGCCATTGCTGCATTTAATGAATGACTGCAAACCCCTATGAGAGATTTGAGAGTGTTGGAAATGGAAAACCAAAACTTGATGCATCATTCATGTGGGTTGTTTACACATTATACACACA